GGGGCACAGGGGGCACAGGGGGGCACAGGGGGCACAGGGGGGCACAGAGCAGGCCCGGCCGCGCCTCAGCGCCAGCGCAGCGGGAGGGAGGGCTCAGGTTACCGGCCTCGTACAGAAATGAGTGCGGCCGCGGGAGCCCGGGGAGGTTGGCGCTGTCCGCAGCCGAGCTGTATTAAAGGGGAGCGGCGGGGCGGCCGCGGGGCTCCTCCGGCAGCCTCCCCTCGGCATGGCGGGGCCGGGCGGCGACGGGGACCTGCGGCGCCTGCTGAAGCTGCACCGCACCGAGATTGCCATGGCCGTGGACGACGTGTTCCCGCTGCTGCACGGCCTGGCCGACCACGACGTGGTCCCTGAGCATATCTTCAAGGTGAGGCGGCGGGGCGGGAGGAGACGGGCACGCCACGGGGGCCGGGCCCGGCTGGCAGCACCGGGACGCGTTGCCAGCGGGCCGTGGTGGCACCGGCAGGAGACGCTGAGCCGGGCGGAGCGGGAGGGCTCCCAGCGCGCCTTCCACGCCCTGCTCACCTGGCTGCTGGGCCGCGACGCCGCCGCCCTGGGCGACTTCTGGGCCGTGCTCTTCAAGGACTACAACCTGGAGCGCTACGCCCGGCTCCGGCCCGTCCGCGGCGCCTTCCCCAGAGGTACTGGGGGGTCAGGAGGGACCGGCATCCCGGGTCCTGCCAGTGGGCAGGAGTGGCACCCCGGGCTGGCCGCGCCTGTCCCAGGCCCTGTCCCTCTTTCAGAGGCGGAGCTGGGTCGGCAGCGCCGTGGCAGGCGTCTGTCCCCCAGCCCCACGGCACCGGCCCCACACAGACCCCAAGGCAAGAGGAAAGCCCCTGAGGAGCGGGACAAGGCCCGGGCAGCACAGCCCTCCCCACGGCACACCACCAGTCCTGGTAGGGAGACCCCGAGTGGGATGGAGATGGGCTGGGGTGCTGGGGGGTGCCCGAGGTGTAGAGGGGTGTTGTGACCCCGATGCCCACCCTCACAATGCTGCAGGGCCCCTGGCAAAGGCAAAGACTGTGAAGAAGCCGGAGGGTGCAGATACCCCCCGCACCCCTCGTGCCGGCGGTGAGTGCCAACCCCCCCGGGGCAGCATCTGCCTGTGCACCCTGTTTGCCCAGAGCCGTGGGCAGGGGGCTGCTCACCCCACTGAGCCCCCCTCACCCGCAGCCCTCCAGGCAGTGGCTGCCTCAGTGCAGAGAGCAGTGGCTGTGGCAGGTGGTGAGGTGCCCATCAGCCGTGGGGCCATCGAGGGCATCCTCATCAAACACGTGCTGGAGCCAGGTAGGTGCAGCCCGGTGCAACCCATCTCAGCCCAGCCACCTCCTGCCCAGTTAAGCTCCCAAATTCAGGAGCCACCCTCATACATGAGAGGAAGCTGGAGCTGCTTCTGGCCCCCCTTGCAGGCAGCTCCAGGACAGGCAGCAGAGCTGGGGATGAGCCATACACCCAGGCTGCCCGCGGTGAGCTGGGGGCCAGGAGCAGAAGCCACAGCCTGAAGCCCCCTGCCCAGCCCAAAGCATCCCAAAGTGTACAGATGCCCACCCACCTGTTTTCAACCTCCCTTGTGCAGCTGCCAAGGCTGTGGCAGGGGGTTGTCCTTGCATGGCATCATGCAAGAGTGTCCCCCTGTGCCAGCACTGCCTTTCCAACCCTTTTTTTTTCTCACCCGTAGAACAGGGAACCCCAGCTGCACCCCCAGGGCCAGCTGCCAGTGCCCACCATGTACAGCCAGGAGCCTGTGCCCCTCCAGGTGAGCCCTGGGTGTGACACCCGCTGCACCCCCGAGAGGAACTGTTTGGGTGTCCCTGGCATGTCCACTGGCCTGGCCTAGCACAGGAAATCCAGGGGTCAACTACTGGGTGGGTCACCAGGTTACAACGCCCAAGAGACAGGCAATTCACACCCTAAAGGGGTTGGTGTGTTCGGTGCAGGGTGAGTGATGCAGGGGGAGAGGGTGAGGGGGACAACAGACACTACCACAGCCACGGTTTCAGCCTGGTGGGTGGTGGTGGTGACCTCCCCCCCACTCCCCCGGGGCAGGAGAACGAGGACGAGTGTGCAGCCTGTGGTGACGGCGGTGAGCTGATCTGCTGTGATGGCTGCCCCAGGGCCTTCCACCTCACCTGCCTGGTGCCCCCGCTGCCCCGTGTCCCCAGGTGAGTCCCAGGGTGCCATGGGGACCCCAGAGCACCCTCGCTGTCTCTCACTGCCCTCTCCGACTGTGCAGTGGGACATGGCGATGCGGCTCCTGTGTGACGAGTGTGGCTGAGCCGGGCCAGCTGCTGGAAGCAGATGTGGCTGTGCAGCGACCCCCCGAGATCCCGGGGGAGGAGGGACGTGATACCCGGCTGGGTGGAGCTGATGGGAGTGTCTGTAGCCGCTGCTTCACCCAGATCCTCACCCCCCAGCACTGTCCTGCTCCCAGTGCAGAGCCCAGGTGAGCCCCCATCACCCCCACATCCCAGCCTGAATTCCCCCCTTGGAGGGGTCTGCCCTGACAGTCTGTGTCACCCCTGAGGGTGTAGGGGGCTGCTGCTCTGCACGTCCTGCACACACACCCCGGACATGGGCAGCCTGGACACCACCACAGCAGCTGGTGACCAACAGGCCCAGGCAGCCAAGGTCGGTACAACCCGAGCCAGGGAATGCTGGGAGAGCGGGTACAGGGAGTGGTGAGGGGGAGGAATGGTGCTTCAGGCTGGGACAGGGACAGGCCAACACTAGGGGGAGGCAAGTTAGTGAAGCTGTGCTCGGGAAACATGAGCTGAGGCTGCACCAGGTGAGGGACTGAACCTGGTTACTAACCCTGACCAAAAGGAGCGCGAGCTGAGGGCAGGCAGGGGCAGGACATCTCTCCTCCCACAGGCAGAGGAAGGAGCTCTCAGCAGTGACCCTGTGCTGAGCCGGGATGAGCTCGATGCGCTCCTGGGTGAGGTAAGACTCTGTGGGACACCAACAGGCAGAGTCCATCCAAAGGGGACTGTGTCTTCAGTGTGACCCACTGGGTAACAGTGGGCTGTGGGTCAGGCAGGGTGTGCCAGGAGACGCCAGGGGGGCAGGACGTGGGATGGAAAGTGAAAATAACCTCCTGGGGCTATCCCGCAGGGCACATGGGATGGGATCTTGCAGTGGGCATTCCAGAGCATGGCACGGCCCCTGGCAGACACACACGGGCTCCTCGCCTAGTGCACACTGTCCCAGTGGCACCACCGACGTCACAGGAGTGCAGAAGCAGCCCCTGGGGCAGCTGTGCCACCGGGGGTACAGAGGCACCATGGCAGATCCAGAAACCTGACAGCATAAATAACAGGGCATCACAGCAGAGCCCAAGGCACACGGATACTGGCAAACAACAGATCACAGCAAACAACTCTGAACAGACCACAGCAAAGTGTAAAGGACCACAAGCATATGAAATACAAAATCAAGAAAGTATAATAGAATAGGAAAAAAATATCTAAAAGATAAGAACAAAAAGAATGCATTTCCAAAAAAAGTATTGGTAAATATCAGAAAAAGGTATAAAAAACATGGCAAAATGCAACAGGATGAAAAATGAACCAAGACAGACACAACAAAAGCACGGGGCAAAAGCCTACAGCACCCGGTATTCCCAGGCGGTCTCC